AGAAGAAGAAGAAGAAGAAGAAGAAGAAAGGAAAGAAAGAAATGATATCCTGAGCGTAAAGGTAATGACACGTAAGTAGTTGGTCTCTTTTTCAATGGTTGTGACCAAGGACTGAAAGATAACAGAGGAACGATGCAAACTCGAGTCTGTGACCATGATTCAATTAAGGATGATTGGACTTTGGTTTGCATCGAATTCTGCGAAATTCAAGCCATCAACTGCCATTAGTTTATTCGATGGTCTTCTTCTCGTTTGTCCCTTTCTCCAATGACTTTTGAAATCGAATCAGATCGAGCGCGATTGAAACTAGCGTCGAGTGCGCTAATTAGTGCTATTAACGCGTCCACGCCAATGTATATCATTTGTAAGGCATCCTTAACGGTTGTTAAAAATTAACAAAATTTCTTCCTCTGTAGTTAGATAAACACAGAACGAAGAGAGACGAGAGATTCTTCGCGAAAGTGTTCTTTCACACGGGCGTGGACCACCGTTATGTCATTAATTGAGATGTATTTGTTAGTGACGTCGAGAGACGAAGACTCCTTTTTTTTTTTATTTAGATACCATTAGAGGCTAAAATGATCTCGTAACTCCGCTGGTATTTGCCATTGAGAATGGCACTTGGTGTAGTATAACGCGCAACACGCGCGCGTAAACGCCATGTGAGGCACACAAAGTGGTCAGGATGAGGTTGTTAAACAGTGCGGTATACATGGACAGAGAGAGAGAGAGAGAGATAGAGAGAGAGAGAGAGAGAATAGTACGTGAGAAGCGTTAGAGAATTGGTGACAGTGAAAGGGTTAAAGCTGTTTGCAACAAAACGTACATAGTCGTCATGGTCAACGAATGAAGGTGGATCATCGAAGATATGCAGCGTGCGTTTTTACGAGTCGAGATGCTCGATACGCAAGTGATCGTGCGTAAGTATTTGGACTGTTTCGAGATTATCGCAAACGTATGAAAATATTCAATACACAGAGTACACAATTTCGAAATATACGAAACATTGTAAATGTATAAAATGTTCAATTCAATGTATGAAATACAATTCAATGTACAATGTTCAATGTACGAAAAATACTGTAAATAAAATACAAAGTTTAAACGAATCTTGCGAAATTAACTGTAATATATATATGTATAATAAAATAACTGATATTAATTGGCGTAAGTAAAAAAGCAATAACTGAAGATTAATTTCGCGGTGACATTTTAATTAAATGTCCTCGAGTACGTCTGTTCGACGTTCAGACATTCGAAGGGTTAAAGTTCCTGTGTTTTTATTAGAAACAAATGAAAAACTAATTAATAATAATTGTAGTTATATATATAATTATGCATATTCTAATGATATAAACTCATTATAAATGGATATGAAACTTGAGTACAAGTATATTCTTTGATTTACAGATTAAATTTAGCAGAGCATTTCATCTCAATTATAAAATTGACAGAAACGAAACAAGAGCATTAATTTTTTGACGAATGTACGCTATATGTACACGCCCGTTTAAAAGTATTAAGATATGAATTATATTCAGGGATCGAGATAACCTTTAAGCAGAACTTGTATGTCTCATTTAAGAAAATGTCTGATCTTGTGAAAAGAAACGTTAAAGAAGCTTCTTTAAAAAAATGTTTTCACGGGGCAGATACTTTAGAATTTGCATGATAAAAATTTCATGGAAACCAAGTTATTAAAGAAGGTTCCATAAGACCAAGCTAATTAATTTAGCGCTTAATTTAACTTAATGTAATATCATATTATTGAAAGTTCAAATCGAACTGTAGCGTAACAATCAGCTAATTAATAATGATCAAAATGCAGATATTACACTACAAAGAGAAAGCCAAGTGAGCTTTGAATTATGAATTATCTACCTAAATACATATTACATTCAGAATATAAATTTCATTGCAACAACTATTTAATACTGTTCACGATATTCGCAACTATTCATTTTAATATTAATCATTGAATAGTATCCAACGTATTCGTTAAATTGAAGAACCTTTTTCAATATTGACGAGCAAATTATCTGTTCCTGTTGTAGAACAATTTACTCACTTTTCATATTTCGTGCAACTTCCATTGAAACTTGGTTTTTTTATTTCTCTGTTTCTCGCTAGAACTGACAATGTAATATAACAATAATAAAAAAAAAAGTATGATTTTCGAGCGAGTGTACACAGTGCGTGGCATATACGCGTTTATTTCACGATTCAGTCATTGTCTACGATTTCAATCGCTATTCCAACGTCGCACTTTTTCGTTTCAAAGTGGGAGAAGAAACCTCGATCGCGTTGTAAAACTAGCAGGCTAAAAAAAAAAAAAAAAACTCGATATCGGTGGCAGGGCATAGGAAAAGTTTCGTGAAATTTAAATTTGAACGAAAGGTGCAATTTATTGGGATTTTACTTCGTTTCCAAGGGAAGTGTAACGCGATGTTCATATTAAACAGGTCGTAAGAGCAAAGCTTCCAACGCGGTTTAAGTCCCCACTTGTGCGGGGGCTTTTGTGCGCCGGAGCTTCTTTCAGAAGTCGAATTTCCTGTGGATATCGTTCGCGACTTTGAAAGTCTTTGGAAATAACGCTCGTCGCGCGAGCTTTCCTTCTTTTTCCCTTTTTCTTTCTCTCTTTCTCGAAAAGAGAGCTGTGTTTTCCTTTTGTGAAAGTACACGTAATGCCATGTAACCTGGAAAGTTGGAGTTTGAAGCGATACCCTGTACCTTCATGTTTCGAGTTTAAATATATTTGACTAAATTGCGTATTTGACGTGGAAGCCTCGTGTATCCAAGTGTAAGAAGCTGTTTAACTAGATAAGAACGATATTCCTACTTCAATTGTAATGTTACACGTGTGAAATAAATATCTCGAAGCTGCAAGAAGAACAGATGATTTGAAACATTAATTGTAGGTTCCGGGCAAATCATTTCTTATTGCCCAGTAACAATGCAAAAAAACGACACGCTACAGAAACACCTTGCATAATTGACGCAACAATTTCTCAAAGTTGTCAATGTTTCTTACTACCAGAAAAATATTCGATAGTTCTCGATTTAATCGATATTGACGTAGTTGCGTCAAATGAATGGTACAACGAGCGAGATGTTTTAGAAAATATAATTAATTACTTATGGTTGAAAGTAAGTTACATACGTAATGTAAGAATTTGTTGTACCAGCGTGACAGAAGAAGTTATTAATTCGTCGTCATTCTCAATCAGAGTTTATGAGAATTTAAAAAACAAAAAATACTACACAGACCCACGATATTGATGTTTGAATTTTTGCAGATAATCGAGGAACAGTACGGCGTGAAATTTACATTTCGATTGTAAAGTACAAAGCGATCCTAAGCGTAAAATAAATGTTGGTAAGTTGTTACACCCCAAGGAATAAAACGCATACGGAGTCATTTTTGACCTAATTACTGTTGCGTTTATTTAAAGGTGTGCCCTCACCAGTGGTATTCGCGAATAGTTCGTCAACAGTTTGCAACGTAGTACGTATTTGTGCGTTTAGATCAAACGAGCCAATGTTGCCATCGCCTCTCACTTTGATCGAATTCATGCTCGTTTACTACACTAACACACGTTCGATGCAATAAACGATATGAATACAAGCACGAGTTTTCGTCAAATTACAAACGAGCATCCATTCGTTTGATTTGAATGTATCATAAAATAAAAATATCGCTCGCTAATGTTCTTCGAATTATTCGCTGGTGAGTACACACCTTAAGTATAGCAGACATTCCTATCAAATGAAGATAGAAAATGACGCATCGACTTAATTGTATCACGGATAGAACACGTCAAGGCAAAACATTTACAAGATTGTAAATCGCAATGTCCGCGGAGAGAATGAACTTTTTTAAAAAATTAATTCTTATTTTTCCTAATTAGGAAGCTACTATTACCAAAAAATTAAAATCACGAGCAGTTCTATGGGAGTTTGTTAAATTTATCATTACAATGGGACATAAATGATTCATATATGTATATTGTACATATAAGGTGTTCGTGGTTCTACTAGCCAGCGTTCTTCTCGTGAACGATAAGTGTGAGAAAAAGAATGAAGATGAAGAAGCAATACTGATTTGTATAAGTAACATAATGGTGTAAATTTTTTTTTTGTATTTAAGAATGAGTGGCCTTCAATTTTTAATATTTATATATGTTTGTTTCTTACCTTCCATTATCATCTACTTCTCAAATATACATAATTATACATAAAAAGTTTTTGTTTTGTATAATAATATACGATGTATCTAGCGACAATAAAATTCGTATTGCAATTTTTAAAATTTACACTCAAGCATCCGCAATTCGAAGGTGAATATTACCAACTATTATTGTAACTACAATTAAATAAATTAATTGATTAACTTGATCTGTTGTTACAAACAGCAAAAATGTATATTCAATCAAAAATGTTTCTATTACGTTCATTTTCTATTCATCACAACGATGAAGAATTTATACAAATTCTGTTAATAAATGTTTGTTGGTTCAATTATGCTCTTCACATGTATCTTCAAATACGTACGCCATGATTTTCGTCTCAATGAAAGTGTAAACGAAGAATCGTCAGCCGTTATAAAATGAAGCTGCAACGTCATGTGAAACACAAACGACGAGTTTATCGTAATCAGCAGTTGCGATTCTCTCTCTCTCTCTCTTTTCTTTTTCATTTTCTAGCGCGCGTGCAGACGCTTCAAAACAGAGAAATGTCCTTTCGAAGATGAACGATTCAATCACGATCGTCGTTCGCGTGTATATTTCCAACATTTCGCGGTCTCGATTTCCTTTATCACGTATCACTGGCACCCCCGCAAAGCCAATCTACCTTTCCGTCGATCGAATCGAGCTTC